TTTCTTTCTTTCTTTCTTTCTTTCTTTCTTTCTTTCTTTCTTTCTTTCTTTCTTTCTTTCTTTCTTTCTTTCTTTCTTTCTTTCTTTCTTAGCTTTATAGACCAAGAACATAACCTTGTATATATAAATTCTTCTCTTTGAAATCTGTTGAAATTTTGAGTTTTGGTTTAAAAGTGTAGTCAGATTTTTTTTTTGAGACAGGTTTTCCCTGTAGCCCCAGCTGGCCTGGAACTCTAGAACTCTCTGCCAGGCTGGCCTCCACCAGCCTCTGCCTCCCTGGTGCTGGGATTAAAGGCATGTGCCACCACACCCAGCCTATTTGTTTAATTTTTTTTTTTTTTTTGGTCTTTTTGAGTCAGGGTTTCCCTGTAGCCCCAGCTGTCCTGGAACTCACTATGTAGACCAGGCTGTCCTTGAACTCACAGAGATTCGCCTGGCTCTGCCTCCCGAGTGCTGGGATTAAAGGCGTGCGCCACCATGCCCGGCTTATTTGTTTAATTTTTAAAAAAATATAATTACTCTGTTCATCTATTTTGCTATTAATATCATTGTTAACTTTATTTCTGAATCCTCTATATCCTGCATGTTTTGCATGATCCTCATTTTCTTAGATAAGTGGATAGAAAGTTTCTTACTCGTATGCGTTTTCCAGTTGCTTATATTTCAGGCATTGTGTCTTGTGGTGTGTCCATGGTCAGACCACCCATTCTCATCTAACATTATTTTCTTTGCTCTGTATCATAATGTTAGGTGCATAAATGTTGAACTTACTATTTAATGTTGTTTGCCTTAGATTATTTTCTAGCTAATGCTAATAACCTTTTGTGATTTCTTTTTCATTCTTCTATTTCAACCTTTATGTCTAAAAATTTTAAGCCTCTCTTTTAACATAGTGCATTGAGTGTCATCCCCACCCCCACCCCCAACGTATCTATGACTTTTTGTTTGGGCCTTTACCTGAAATTGAAGATTATGGTGAAGATGTGTTTTTTCTCTGGCTCCTTCTTTCTTGTACTTTGCTGAGTTTATTCCTTTCTTTTTCCTTCCTGTTTTGGAAATATATGTCTTGTTCCTATCTTCTGTCAGATTAAATTGAATTAACCAGCATTGTGACTAATTTATAAGCTTTTGGTATTATTTTAGTCTTGGCTTTTATATATTTTAAATAATGAAAAATTTTAGAGATGTTTGTATGGTAGTATGTTTCTTTTCTAACTTTTAAGGAATTAAAAGTTACCTGACGTGCTAAAGCTGAACATATGTTGTGTTTCTCTGGTTACTTTATTAAATACATGGTCCTCAGATTTCAAGGATGTCTATTTCTTGGATACATTGTTCTTTGTAAAGAAATAACTATGACTAAATTCCATAAATTCTGAAAAGTGTATTCTATAGTTTAGAATTTAATTTTCAAAGTAATTGTGTTTCAATTGCAGAGTTATTTTATGACATCTACTGTTATATTTAGGAAATCCAATATATGCTGATTTCTAACTCTCTTAAACAGGTCATTTTTTTCCCCATCACCTCCCATTTTCTCTGTATATTTTATAGCTTCAAAGCTCTGAAATTTCCATAGTTTTGTAATTATAGAATTCTTTAGTTTTTGGTGTGTGTGTGTGTGTGTGTGTGTGTGTGTGTGTGTGTGTGCATTTTAAGCTATTTTATAGGGATTATATTCTGAAGATGTTTTTATGTAACTGATGAATCATACCAGAAAGAAACCAAACTCATAATTAGATTGCATCCTACTATTAAATCCTATTATTGGTTTGGTTTTAGGGAAATTCTTTAAAACTAAATTCTTTAAAAACTAAAATTTTGAGAGTATTATAGAAAAATGGGATTGAAAATTAATACAATTTTGTCTTGTTTTAAGCATAACTTGTCTACTTTATGAAGTTGGAATTAAAAAATTCATACTAGATTATGTTCTTTCATAATGAGTTCTAGGCATATTGAGCACCTTGAAGCATAAGAAGTCATGTGTTTTTTAAGTTCTGTGCAAAAAGGCTTTGCTAATTGTAGTACTGATTGTTAGCACATTGTTACTTTGACCTTTGTAGATAAACTTAACTAGGTTTGTTACATGGATAATTGAGAATGAATGTAAAAATGTAGGATTAGTAGTGTTTTCTACACATTTCAGATTCACTTTATTATTGCTAATTACTATCTCAGTACCATAATGAGTCATACTAGTCATCGTTTTTTTGGTTTTGTTTTGGTTTGGGTTTTTTTTGGTCTTTTTTGAGACAGGGTCTCCTCATAGCCCTGGCTGTTCTGTAACTCACTATGAATAGACCAGGCTGGCCTCGAACTCACAAAGAACCGCCCGCCTCTGCCTCCCAAGTGCTGGGATTAAAGGTGTAAATTTCTTTTTTTTTGAGACGGTCTACCTTGTAGCCCCAGCTGGCCTGGAACTCATATGTAGACCAGGCTGGCCTTGAACTCACAGAGATCCACCTGCCTCTGCCTCCTGAGTGCTGAGATTAAAGGCATGTGTCACCATGCCTGTCCTGTTTTTAAAAAAATGTTTTAAGTCCTCCACTACTTAAAAAAATGTGTATGGGGGCTGGAGAGATTGCTCAGCGGTTAAGAGCACTGATTGCTCTTGCAGAAGACTGGGTTTTGATTCCCAGCACGCACATGGTGACTACGAACCGTCCTTAACTCCAGTTCCAGGGCTATCCGAAGCCCTCTTCTGGCCTCCGCGGCATTGCACAAGGGTGCACTCACATACATGCAGGCAGTACACTCATACACATAAAATAAAAATAATAAATAAAATATTATTTTAGAAAATGTGTGTGTGGGGGGAGCGGGGAGTGCTCATGTGAGTGTGGGTGTCTTCAGAGGCCAGAGGCATTGGATCCTCTGAAGCTGGAGTTCTAGGTGGTTGTGAGCAGTTCAGGATGGGTGCTGGGATCTGAACTCAGCTTCTGTGGAAGAAGTAAATGCTCTCAGCCACTGAGCTACCTCTCTAACCCTACCACCTTTTTAAAAAATTCAGAACATTATTGTGTGTGGGGGGGGGCGTGTTTGCACATGTAATGTATAGTGTGTGAATACATGCATGCTATGTTACATTTGTGAAGGTCAGGACAACCTCTTTGAGTCAGTTCTGGTTCTCTCCTATCTTTATGTGGGTTCTGGGGTTTGAACTCAGGTTGTCATGTTTGTACATGTTGAGCTGTCTCTCTGTCCCATTGACTTCATTTTTGATAAGAAATACTTGAAATGTCTTTCATTTGATTTCACCTTTTGAAAATAACATACATTGGTCCTTTCTATTGATGAAGATTTTGTTTTCATGGAATAAGAATACTATTCTAGTTATATTAATTTATTATTATTATTATTATTTGTCTTTTTGAAAGAGGGTCTCCCTGTAGCTCTAGCTGGCCTGGAACTTACTATGTAGACCAGACTGGCCTGGAACTCAGAGATCATTAATTTTTAAAGATTTATTTTTATTTATTTATGTGTTGTCTATATGTGTAAATGCATGCTGTTTGCATGCCTGTGGAGGCCAGAAAAGGGTTTTAGATATTTTGTAGTTGGGGTTACAGGTGACTGGGAGCCTCCTGATGTGGGTGCTGGGAACTGAACTTAAGGTCCACTGTAAGAACAGCAAGCACTCTTTACTACTGAATCATTACCTCTCTAGTCCCATAGTTACATTAATTTAAAAATAGTTAACATCTGTAGTTTGGGGCTAGCACTTGGTTGGTGGTACCATTGAACACACCAGACTTGCAAAAAATAAGCATACTCTGGAGGAGGCTAAGACATGCTTGCTGAGAGGCAACAGTTCACATGCAGTATTCCTCTGGTAGGTACTAAGTACTGTTGCCATGGTGATAATGGCTGAGCTGTGCCATTATCTATCCAGCAACAGTAACAGAAGCTTTGCAGTAAGGATACCATTTAGCAGACAGTGGCTTTTGTTGAACACTAAATACCGCTACAAAACCTTGGTTTAAAAAAATGTTGCTGGAGGTGGCCTGTTTGCGTCTGGCGAGTGCAAAATTCAAAATCATAAAGTCCGCAGCAAGTGTTATAAATCACCGCTCTGCAGGAAACCTGAGCCAAGTAAAGCATGAAGACAAACCAGGACTTTACCCAGTGGTCTTCATTGTCAATCAGTGTTCTTGATACTTGCTTTCTTTTCTAATGTGGGGCCCTCAGTTAAAATCTGTGTTTTTCCTGTCCCCCCATGCACATTTCCTGTTTCTCATTGGCTTTTTCTTCTGACTTACCCACCTGAGCCTGAAAGGTTTTCTTTTGTGTGTGACTGTTCTTTAATATTAACATGTAAACTTCGCCTTTATTAAAAATATCCAGCAAAAACCATTGTTTTAAAAAAGAATTAACTCTGTAAAACAATTATATTTTACTGAAGTTTATCGTTCCCTGAGACCAAGCTGACCTTGAACGCATAGAGATCTACCTGCCTCTGCCTCCCGGTTGTTGGGATTAAAGGCTTGCACCACCACCCCCGGCATAGTTCTTAACTTGCATATCTCCTTTTCCTGCTTCTTTTTATTTTCATAATGATAAATGATACCAAGATTCAGAAACTATTGTCTTAAATTGTTTACTTAACCTGTTATTTGAATATCATTGAATTGGGAATATAAGGGAATCTAGTTTATAATGTCAACTTCAAATTAATAAGAGCTTTTATTTTTTTGTAGGCAAGATATTTATTAGAGGATCTACACCCGTAAATGTATCATTTTTTAAAATAATCAAATTGGTTGCAAGAATCAAATATTGACATTTACTAAAATCAACAGTTAGAAAAAAGTTAAACTTGATCATAGACATTGATTTGGAGGGATTAAGTGTGTAAACTTCAGATTGAAAGTACCTTATTTTCCTGGAGCAAATGTTGGACTTCTTTGTTGTTTGACAGGACTTTGTATCTGGGTGTCGTGGTGGCAGCACAGAGCTAAACTCAGCACTAAAAAGACAAAGGCAGAATCATCCTTAGCTACATAGAGTTCTAGGCATGAAACTCTCAAAAACAAGAAAAGAAAACTTTTCTTTTGAATTATTTTATTTTCTTCTTAATTTATTTGGAGACAGGATCTCTCTCTAGCCCCAACTTGCCAGGAACTCTGTGTAGACCAGGCTGGCCTCTATCCCACAGAGATCAGCTTGCCTCTGCCTCCTGCATGCTTAACGTATGTAGATCAGGCTGGTCTAGAACTCACAGAGATCTGCCTCCTGAGTGTTGTGATTAAAGGTATGTGCCACCGTGCCCATCAAGAAAAGAAAGTTTTAAAAGGATCGCCAAAATTTCAGTGAATTTCATTGATAAGTAGACAGGATAGTTTATAGGAGAACAAAAGTAGTAATAGTTAGTGGATAGTACTGATAAAGGGGTAGTCCACTTTTTTTTTAAATTGCCAGTATTCTGACTTATAAAGTATGTTTACATTCATAGGCTGACCCCCCTGCCAGCTTTATTCACCCCATATAATCTTGCATCTCATGTATTGAAATAAATTCCTAATTAGTTTCATCTTTGAAGTCTCATTTATCTAAAACTACCGTTTCCACAGTCTCTTTGTGACACTCTTTGCCTTAATGGTGAAATCCTTTAGTAGCTTACATAAATTCTGAAATTCTCAGCATTATATTACAAGATCCTGTTCCTTAAGCATTGTTCTTTTTTACCGTGCTCATACAGAATTGTTTTCTCCTTCCTCTGCATCGTCACTGATTTCTTATCTATTTAAAGTATTCGTTTTTTTTTTCTCCCAAGTATGTTTGATACTTGTTTGCACTTAACGAGTTGTCTTTCCATAATGTATATTTATGGAAGGCAATAATTACAATAAAATCATTTTGTGTCCTTGGCATGGTAGCACATGCCTTTAATACCAACATTCTAGAGGCAGATGCAGACAGATCTCTGGGTTACAGGCTAGCTAGGTCTACATAGAGAGACCCTGTCTCCCCCCCCCAAAAAAAAAGGGTCATTTTTGTGTTTCTGTTCTCTAATAGCTAATTGCTTTGCACAAAGGTATAATTAACTGTGGCAAGTGTTTGCTTGGTGCAGTTGGTGATCTATAAAGTTAGTGAGATAATGTGTTTTGATTCCTAAATGAAGAATTTAAAGTTAATCTTTTTAGAGCTATATGAACATTCAGCTTCTTATTACAGTAGCACTGAATTTTCTAGTAGAAAGAACATTGAAATAGGTGTTTAACTGGTCCTCTTCATGCTATGCATTTTGGCATTTGCCATCTAAAATGAGGGTCATTATATTTTTTCTCATTTGTAACAATGAATGAAACCTGCAATTTCTAAGGTACTTGACCCCCCCACACACACACACACTTTTCTGTGGCTCTTTGTTTTTCTTTTAGTAATAAAACTACTAAAGACATTTCTTTGAACAATCATCATCAAAGTTACTTATATATTTCATTTGAAGAAAAATTCTTTTTTGTCTTTTTTGAGACAGGGTCTCCCTGTAGCCCCAGCTGTCCTGACTCACTATGTAGACCAGGCTGGCCTCAAACGCACAGAGATCTGCCTGCATCTGCCTCCCAAGTGCTGGGACTACAGGCATGCACCACCACGCCCGGTTGAAGAAAATTTTTAAAAGACCGAGAAAGCATCTCAGTGCTAGACTGCTTGTCTAGCATGTACAGAGAACTGGATTCAGTTCCCAGCACTGCAAAAAAGAAAAATAAAAAAAATCAAAATACTGTTTAAATGTCTTACTGGAACCATTAAAAATGCCTAGGTTCCAGAATCTGGTTGCAGTTCTGAATTTTTATATAGAAATTTTATAATAAATGAGGTAGATTTGGAAATAGATTTCATTTTTTTCATTTTCTTTTTTTATATTTATATTTTGATTTTATGTGTATGAGTATTGCTTGCATATAAGTGCACCTATGCTGTACAATGCCCTTGCAGGACAGAAGAGGGCGTCGGATCCCTTGGAACTAGCAATGGACAGTTGTTACCTGCCATGTGGGTGGTAGGAATTGAACCTGGATCCTCTGTAAGAGCAGTCAGTGCTCTCAACCGCTGAGTTATCTCTCCAACCCCACATTTCATTTTTTTGTCTGCACCATTTTAGCTGAGAACATGGTAAGGCAGTATACATACATAATTTGGTTTAGATTTGAATAAGAAACTGCTTTTTTTTTTCCTTTCATGTTTAAATTGTATCTTTTATACCAGTCTTATCTCCATTTATTGGATTAAAATAGCACAAGGTTTTTCCAGTTGAATAAAAGAGTACTGAATATTTCTGTCCTCTGTTCTGGGGCTTGAACCAGGACTTTGTACATGATAGGCAAACTATACCCTGGAGCTCTAGTTGGGGGAAAAGGTTAATGGTATTTAGGGAGAAATTCTTCACTTTCTCTCTGAATTGTATGTATCTCCTTTACCCCCTCTTTATTATTTGTCATTTGTACACCATCATTTTAAATAAATAATTCCTAGATAGTAAGTTTGGTTTTTATACATTGATGTGTAGTAAACACTATCTTTTGCACATAGGATATAGTTTTAGTAAATGTGTTTTTAATCACTGGAGACAACATTTTTGGCTCCCCTCCCCATACTTCTTAGTATAAAATTTTATAATTAGCTCTCCTTTCTCCAAGTACATTCTAGACCTCCTTTAGAATCTGAAAAGAAGAATATCAAAATTATCTGGTAAATTTCATTTTCTTTATAGTTTTTTTTTCTTGCAAAAGTTGGATAAATCCTGAATATAGATTAGATACTTTTTGAGTGTACATGTAAGCTAAACCAAGTCTCTGTTTTCATAGAGCATAGAAAGTATGTGAACAGAAATATATACAAAACATGTGGACACATCTATGAAAAAAGTAGGCATAATAAGATGGAGAGATGGCTGAGAAACTTGCTTGAGGTCATACAAAGAGTGATTGAAACAATGCTGGTAAAGGAAATAGCCATTCTTTTTATTTTCTTCTATCATGATAGTTCCTTCCCCTAATTAGAGCTTTCAATATGGTTCATAGTCATTTAAGTGTATTTTATCTTGGGCCAGGAGATGACTTAGTGGGTAAAGGAGCTTACCACTAAGCCTGTCAACCTGAGTACTATCCCTTTGGGGTTTTCTTTGGCAATGCCTTTACTACTTAGCCATCTCACAGGCCTTGCACAGCTGATTTTTGGCCATGGTTATTCTAAACATTGTTGTCCTCAGAAGGAGCAGCATTCCTGTACCTGCTAGCCATGTTTTCTGGGGAGAAATTTGGTCAGTAAGAAAAAATTGTTTCCGAACTTCATTCCTTCTTGGGCTATGCAATTTTCTTAGTAAATTTTCACTCCATTCAGCTTAGTTATGGCATAATATATAATATAAGGGACTTTGTATCAGAAAAATCACTTTTAATTGAAATTTAACACCTTCCCTGGTCTAACCTATAACTTGAATTTTCCTGCTGTGAACTATTTAAGATACTGAAATTTTGGCTGGGTGTGGTAGTGCATGACTTTAATTCCAGTGCTTGGGAGACAGAGGCAAGCAGATCTTTGTGAGTTCCAAGCCAGCCTGGCCTGCATAGTGAGTTCCAGGCCAGTTGGGGCTACAGGGAAACCCAATGTCAAAAAGACTGGAAAAAAATAGATAATGTTGAAATTTCATGTTTATCTGCCAGTGCCATATTCCATCTTCCTCTCCTCTTACACAAATTGTGTTTTTTTTTTTTCAAAAAGCTTTCATATTATTTTCTTCATGTAAATCCCATTGGAGGGATTTAGCACCTTAGGTTTCTGCCTTTGACTTGGCAGTTAAGATGTACTGCACTTTGAGGCCTTTTACTTTATAAAACTAATTTAAAATGTTTACATTTTCATCTGTTTATTCACCTGTATTCATGTCTATATTTCCTTTGTTTACTTTTTTCATTGAGATGATTTCAGTAGATAAAATTTGGGGGGGATATGCTTTGGGTAACAGCCTT